ACCACCACGGGGGGACGCCCCGTCCAGATGAACCTCTACGCCACCTGGGAGGTGGACCGGAGCTCGCCCAGCTGCGTGCCCAGGTGAGGAAGGAGAAGAAGAGGGAGGGGGGAGAGAGAGACACACACCACATCATTCTCTTTTGGGGACCCCACATCCTCTTTTGGGGACCCCCAGCTTCAGAGGGGAGAGGAAATCCCACCCACCCCCAAAAAAGAAGAGAAACGGCGCATCCTCCCCTGCAAACATCTACATCTATTCTCTCCCCCCCTATTCCTTGACCCTGTGAATAAAAGACGGGACTCCCCCCTCCCCAAAATACCTTCCTCTGCTCGCTCCCCCTCCCCAGGATCAGATCAGGCAGCAGGACGCCCCCCCCTTGGTAACCACGCCTCCCCAAAATGCGCCATGAGTGAGGGGTGTGTCACCTTTCAAGGGGGCGTGGGGACATATGGGGGTGTAAGGACGTCCTTGTTTTTGGAGGCGAAAACATTGCTTTTTTGGGGGGGGACATTTTGTCTTTCCTTGAGTGACTGTGGCTGCCTGAAAAGGGGGGGGGTGTTCAATGGATGGTTGCCCCCCCTTACCGCTTTGGATGTGTTTTGAGTGTTGCTTTTGTTTACAGTCCGTAGTGGTAGTATCTGTCCTTTTTAAGTATTTGTAGACTTACTGGTGTTTTCATGATGTAAGCTGCCTTGGCCCCCTTTTCAAAAGGAGAAAGGCAGGGTAAAAACATTATAAATGAAAACTGTTATGCTATTCTTTTTGCTATCTCTCTCTGCGTATTTATACATCTGTACTGATGTAAGCTGCCTTGGGTTCTTTTTTTAGGGAGACAAGCAGGTTAAAATATTTTAAAGAAAACAAAGAAATAAATAATAAATGTATGTATATGTGTATATACAGACACACACATATGCTCCTATATCTCTATATGAAGACAGTCAAGCTCTAGGCTGACAATATGCCCAGGGGTGTCCTTCATCAGACAAAATGGTAGAAGTCACCTTCAGTTCTGGTTCTCCCTTTCACAAATACATGAAGGATGATGGTGGAGATGAATACTCCTCATTCATAGTGGCTGTTGGGGTTGAGGGGACTGCCCTTCTGAATTTGTAGGGGAAGGGAGATGTAGATTGTTCTTTCATAGCTGTTTCTGGCTGGCTGGTTGTGCTCTTACAGAGGAGAGTGGACTAAGAATGAAATGAAATGGGTTAAAGCCACCCCCTGTGTGTGTAAAAAAAACAAGTGTATCAATTCTGAAACGTCTACATCAGCCCTGTTCATGTGATAGGAAATTAGCTCCCTTTAACCACATCCCCTCACGTGTATAGCACGAGAGTGTGGTTCTTCTGTGTATGTACATGTTAGTAGGTATTGATATCTATATGTGATGGTGCTGTAGTTGTTTCAGAGTGGAGAGAGTTCTTTCTATTAATTTTTTCTTTATCTGTACCTTTCTTCCTTTATCTACATCTTTCACACACAGAATGGATAAAAATCCCTGGTTTTTAAAAATCAAATTGATTTAAATCACTGTTTAAATTTTAAAAAAATTGATTTAAATAATCAGAAATCTGATTTTTTTAAATTTTTAAGTTGTGATTTAAATCAATTCAACTGAAATCAAATACACTCTGTCCACACATATAAAGAACGTTCATCCTCTCTTGACATATTTCCCATGTTGACAAGTAATTTGCCCACTCAGCCTTTAATAGCAGTGCTTTTCCCACAGGAGAAATCTTAACACACTAAACACCAACGGAGCCTACTGGATATCAGGTCAAAGGGGAAACTGTTTTCTCAGTTAGAAAATCTTTGTTACCTGCATTTGCATCGTGCTTTCTTATCCCCTAACAAAATCACTTTTGTCACAAGAGTGGATTGAAGAGGGTGTATTTCCCTAGTAGAGTCAGGTCTCCTCACTCATGTAGCTTAGCGTATACATAAGCATATGTCTGCTTTCCACATACAGCTATCCTATTATAATCCATCGGGTTATAGAAAGCGCTGCAATGGATGCAGGAGAACGGGCTGAGGCTGAACCCAGACAAGACGGAAATTCTGAGGGTGGGTGGCCCTGTGGATGGTGGCTTGGGAAACTCCCTCATGTTTGGGGGGGTGGCCCTGGCTGCGAAGAGTGGGGTCCGCAGCCTGGGGGTACACCTGGACCCGACGCTCACCATGGAAAGGCACATACAAGCAAGGTTGTTACCTGAAAATGATGCCAAAATATATTGTTCCATCCCAATAGTCTGTGTAGGTGTTGCTGCTATTTCATTTCCTCTCATCTAAAGCCACATTTGGTAGTTAGGACCTTCTAAAGCCACATCACCTGATTTGGAAAGATATGAAAGCTCTCTTAAATGCCTTACTGTAATCCCACCATCTTTGGTTCAAGGGCATTTGTTTGTTCCCAATAAAATGACCTTGGCCATCTTTCTTGAAATAGGTTGATTGTTCCCCCATTTCTCACCTGTTGTTCTTACTGAAAATCCATTCCTTTCAAAGAGAGATTAGGACCTTTCCTCTTTTTTTCCTTTTTTTATTTTTTGCGCTATTGAGGATCAGACCTATCAAGTCTTATAAAAGCAAGTAGTGAGAAGAAGGTTATTCATGGATGGAAGAGGCCTTTCTAAAATCTTCAAAGCTTGTTAGAAACCTTTCCTTGCCTTATAGAGTTCTCTGAGAAAAATAGGAGAAGAATTTACTGAGGCATGAGAACATCTTTCACTTCATAGTAACCAAAGTGAAGTTAATTATATATGTAAGATCATTTCCTTTAAAAAGCATGGTGTATGGTCTACTACCTGTTGTGAGGGAAATATTTACCTCAAGTGAAACATAAGTTAGTTACATCTACATTTTCTATTTATAGATGAAACTACTCAAAGCTGTTTTCATCTTTGCTTCCCTAGACATGTTTGCGTTTAGACTATTCGTAGCCCATTTGTACTTCTATTCAAAGGGTATACATAATTTTTAGTGACAGGTTGGAAGTGACTCGATGGCACATAAGTTTTTCCTTGTCATATAAAGTTGCTTATGCTACACTATCCTCATGGCTTTCCTCTTATGTCTGAAGCAGAGACACGCCCCCTTCCTGTCACCCTTTGTGAAAGGAGACTTATTGTTTGCACCAGGCTGCTGCTGTTCTGAAGGCAGCTGAGATGGCAGACTGTTCTTCCTGCTTTGCTGGGTGGTAAAAAACTGGCAAAAAATGGAAACAGCAGTTTGTGCCTACTGAGAGATAAGCAGCTATCTTGAATAGATTGATTACTGTTTATTTTTAGTCTGACTTAGACCTGTTTGATCTTGAAGAGCCCAGGTGGCTGATCATTATTTGCTTCTCAAACAGCTACCATGCTTATTACTAGAATTGTTGAGCTAATCTCTTGTTCAAAGTCTTCCAGAGTCTCGCACATTCTTTTCTTGCTAACAGACATGATGGCAGCTGGTTCTGCCATCACTGATGCTCCGTTATGGACGTTTTGTGATCACTGACATAACTTGCCCACCTGCATCTCAAGGGCAATGTTTTCCCTATCTGACACTTAGACAAGAGTCTAATAACAACAGATACATTACTGATTTTTACAGTACAGTACTGTATTTAATTGAAGGATTTGTCTTGATGACTGAATGTTATTTTGCTGTAGGTCTTTTAACATCCTTTCTGTGCAGTCTTGTTTCTGTGCTTGGCCACCATCTGGGGGAGGACTTTTCAAAAGTAATACAGAGTTCACATAGCTCTTTGAAAGCTGTGGGGAATAATCTCAGCCAGATCCGCAGTTTATTTGTGAGCAATCTTCCTTTCTCCAGAAAGCAAAAACCAAAGCTTTGATATTTCTGCTAGGTTTTCTCATCTTTAGATAAAGAAGTCTGTTTCCAACTTTCCCCAGCCTGGCATTCTGCATATGTGTTGTATGACTCCTAAAATTCCCAGAACCATTGTCTGCGTTGGGCAGGCTTGGTGGGAAGTATAGACTAATATTAATATGCCTGGAGATGTCCAACACAGAGAAAGCTGGTATAATTGTATTGTTTTTTAAGGTATTTCTTCCAAACTTATTAGTACAGTGACTATTTTTTATTCTTTTTCAGTCCCTAAAAACTTGGTCGATAGCTTATAGAAAAGTGATCTGGACTTTTGCTGCCCATGACTTCATTTTCTGTTTCCAATGAAAGGGCAGATTAGTGATCTGTGTTCAGCTTGTATATGCAACCTAGTTCATCTATCTGATCATTGATACTGCTGTGTGCATTATGAGCCAAGAATTTTCATGTGTTATTATAATCAAAACTATGTTTTGGAATGGTTACTTTCTATTTTTGTTTTTTAAAGACTGCTGCTGTAGAGAGGAAATTTGATTAAGACACCATGTTGCCATAGCAGTCATTCCAGCGCAGTATTTTGCCATGTTTATTTTAAGAGCAAAACACCTAATTCTCTGACCTAAAGCAGTGGTGCCTAGAGTGAGAAATGTTTTCTGGGGAAGTGTGAACTGCTTTTATTATTCACAGACAATTGCTGGAAACCTCACTTGTCCTAGGATTTGGTATTACTGTATACTCTTCTGTACTTCTGCTACAACTGTAGTTGATGTATCTGTGTAATATTCATAGGTGACTGATGGACTGCATGTGTCTTTTGAATTCCTTTTCATGTCGTCGGGAAGAGTGTGTAACATGTTGTACTAATATAGAAATTTAATTACTTCCAGAAAAGTAAGTTGCATAGCAGTTTTCTCATTCTAGCAGTGTCCATGATAACTGATTCTTAGACTTGACCATGGTCTTTTATAAGACTAAAGTAGGTAGCTTTTATGTACACAGGGTTTTTTTTTCATTTCAAAAATAAGTGTGTCACAATGATCTCTAACAATACTACAGTTTTAATATAATTTCATAGGAGGTATTTGGAAATACATTGCCTGGCACTCAGATAATCTGAATTAACTACTTTGCCTCGAAGATTTTAAAAATATTTAATGCGGGAGTGGATAGGAAAATGTTATGATGAGATCATATGAATGCAGACGTGTGCAGATGAAACTGGCAGCACATTTTTGTGGAATTC